CCAAAAAAATGCAGAAGAGGACTCCTGGCTTTGCTTTTATGCTAGGATTAGTGTACTAGATTTACTTTAAAAAAGGAAAGGAAAGGAATAGTTATAAAAGGAAGGAAAGGAAAATAAATGAAAAAAAAATTTAAAGAAACAGGAAAAGATAGCAAGGAATATTCCTTCCCCCTCCTTGAGGCTCCCTACTTAGAAAACCCCCTTGACTTTCTCTAGGAACCTGATGGAAACCTGAAGGAGATGTGGGTCTCTTCCCTCCTCCCTTTCTAAGGGGTCACTAGAGGCCTATGGTCACCTCTGAAATCCTACCTAGCCATCCCATGGTCACTCGGGCCCATGCCTTCCTTGCCTTCGCTATTTGATTTCTGTTCTTTTGGGCCCGGCTTCCTCTGAGCTGCAGCAGTGCTAGCGCTCAGAAATCACCATAATCATGAAAATAATAATAACAATAATAGTAATACTGACAATAAATCTTTAACATACTACCTAAAGGGAACCTGCAATAACCTTGAAAAAGAAAATTTAAAAATCCTACTATAGGAAAAAAAAGAGAAAAAAATTAAAACTGAAAAAAAAAAAGAAAGAAACCTCCAACGTATTTTATCACTACCTATAGAAAGAAATCCTGCTTTGAGAGTATTCGTAATGCGGTTTTGTTGTCGTTTGTTGCTGCTTATTTCACTAAGAAGAACCCAACAACTAAGACTGCCTAGCCCGCCGGTCCTGTGCGCTTTTATTGTGCTTCTAACCCCAGTAGAGTAGAACTAAATTGCACTGAATGTATAGTTAACTCTGTCTTGAATTCTCTGTTTATGCAACATGCTCGAAAGAAAAAACGTTAAAAATATATCTATAATAATAATTTTTGGTCATTTGTCTTTATGTCCAGCTATGAATGTAGATTTTGTGTCCCGACAGCCCTGTTCCTGGTCCAAGTACTTTGTATTGTATACGTGAGTCATAATAAAAAAAAAAAAAAGGAGAAAATATTTGAAGCTGAAATGACTTGCTTTTTCTTCACAGTTCTTCCCCCATTCTCTACCCCCTCCCTCCTTATTCTCCTTTCCTAACACTCTGGGAAAGATTTCCACTGATTTGACTTTGGGATGGGGGAACTTGCTTGGGGAAAAGTGTAAGAATGGAGAGAACAGATTGGGCTGAAAGGGCAGGTGACTGGTGTCCAGGGTGAGAGGAGGAGGAAGAAGAACAGTTCACTAGTAGAAAGAAGAAGGGGTACATCAGTATGCTCTTGAGTATGCTCCAAAGTGGGTTTCTAGGTGTTAGGACCCCAATGGGAAGAAAGATCTCAGTCATTCACCTTTCTCCTCCTCAGCTATAGCCTGGGCCCAGACAAAGAATCTGTTCCATGCCCCTCCCATGGATATGTCTTTTTTTTCCCCCAGGAGCTAGGGCTGAGGATGAGGCAGTGAGGTTCTTTCTGATCTTCACATGTCCTTTGCAGCCAGTCCCTGGCACCCATTACCCAGCACTGGAATAGTGAACAGGGTGGGGGAAGTGTGAGGCTCAGGGCAGCTGACCTGTCAGAAGGGCTTGAAGGACAAGATGCCTAAAGAGAGGCTGCTAAGTGTGGGGGATAAGGATGTTTCAGTCTGGGAGAGATGAGAGGGGAAGAAGAAATGGATGAGATCAACCAGCTTGGGTCCACATTCTAGAATCCAAATTCAGTCAGCACAGGGTCATCACTGTCACTCAGCCCTCTTACGTTCACTCCACCTCTCTTCTGGCTGTTTCAAGCCAGCTCCAGGCTTCACCTTGGCAATTGGGCAGCTTGCTGGGCCCCCGTAGTGTACCCCTTGGCCTGGGGGGATGGAGCTACTCAGTGGACAGTCCTCCACCCCAACCACTGCAGGATAAGGAGAGTCTCCATTGGAATCTCCATTTCCTAAAATAAAGAGTTGAAGGCTTAGGGACCCAGGGGGCAGAAGAGTCTCTCTCTTCTCTCTGGAGGGTCCTAAACTGAGAAGTCTGTTTATGCCAATAAGATTCTGGTCAAATAATCCCAAATTCCAGAGATGCAAAACTTCTGACTCAGTCAGGAGGTGGGGGAGAGATAGGGAGGGAAGAGGATCTTCTGGTCTTCCATACCAGACCCCCAAAGACTGAAATATTTTTGAGGCCAGCTATCCCTGTCTCACACACCCACCCCTTTCCCCTGGTCAATGATTTTCACAGATCTAGGTTGAGGCCAAATCTTTGGTTGCTTTACTGGAGTCCCCGTCCTTGACTCCTAGGAAAAGTGGTCCTGAGTACAGTGTTGGGTCAAGCCATGTTCATAGGGGACTCCTGCCTGGAGACAGGCTTCCGGTTGGAAGCACAGGCTGCGGTGCAGCTGGTGACAGCTTTAAGCAGAAGCTCCGGGAAAATCTGCCCCAACCTGGGGTTCCTACTGCGAGTTGAGGAGCCAGCCAGGTAACCCCATTTGCTACTACCTAGGGAGGCCCGAATAGAGGGCATTTTGCTCCGGATCGCAGGCCTTCCCATAGGCGTCCCCTCCGTACTCCCAGGGATGGCTGAGGGCTGTTTCATTTTTAAACGTGGAATTATGATTGTTATTAATAAAAATGTCTGGCCCAGTAGCCAAACGGGATGAGCCCTGCATTAAGTCACTCCGAAGGGCCTTGCCGCATTTTCCCCACACCAAATGCCCCATTCATCCCTGGCTCTGTGTTCTGCAACGTCCGTGGCCCCAAGCCTGTCGCGTCGGAGGGCGGGGTGTGTCTGGCGCCCGGTTTGACTCAAAAAGTCGGGCAACTAGAGGGTCAGACCCCGGGAGCCCTAGCCGGCCCCTCATGCAGCACTCGTTCCCCACTCCTCCTGCCCACCGCCTCTGTTTTCTCGTTTGGAAAGAAAAGGAGGTAAAAACCCGTTTTATGGGGGAACCGTAATTGCGAGCGGGATGCTCTCTCTTTAGAAACGCGTCCTCCCAAATGCTCCCGCCATCCCATTACCGGAATGGGGACCATTCGGCTGCTGCAGATAGGACTTTCTCCCATTCTTTACTTTTTTTATTAGCCAATCAAAGTGGCTTCCGAAAGCTATTTGTGATTTGTGAAAAATAGTATCTTTCAAAATGCTGAGTTGAAGCATCTCGCTCATTTCGCCTTGAATTTATTATTCTAATCTCAACAGTAGAGACAGGATAATGTAGCTATTAAGTTGGGGGGCAAATTCGTTTCTCTGGATTAAAAAAAATTCTCTCGACATTTTCTTTCCCTCCCCACTACCTTATTGCAGAAGCCAAGGGAGGTGCGGCCTTGGAGAAATCAGGGGAACCACGGGATTTAGTGAGCACCCTGAAAGACCTTTTGGGGGATCCTTTAGTGGGAGGGTGAGATTGGCCTCCCAGTCTTATCTTCCTTAAATTAGATGCCCCACCGTCTGCCTGCCTGGTGGTTGGGAAAGTTACCCCTAGCCCCAATTAAAGAGAACTCAGGACAGGTTGTGCCACAGACTAGAGGTAAAATTTCCTGTGAACTGCCCGCAGCGCTATCCCATTCTCCAGGCTGCCCATTGTGAGAAGCCGGGCCAGTGCTTCCTCCTCGTAATTTTTAACTACCTGTTATAAAATTTATGGGTGGGTTTGTAAAAAGAAACGAGGTCTCTGCATCCGGCTGAGGCTGAGGGAACTGCTTTGCTTACTGTGGGGGAAGTTTTAGGAAGGGACGCAGGATTCCCTGTTGGTTGGGGTGGGGACACCCAGCCACTGAGATTCCCATGTCAGTTCCATGCTAGACCAAGGGGAAAGCTGCTGGCCTTCAAATCTCCAGTCATTGGAGAGAGGTAGCTAGGCTGCAATGCAGCAGAATTTGGTCTATATGGGGGAATTTATTCTGGATTTCCCACATTAGGGTCGACCACCAAATTTAGAGATCTGGAGAAATGGGTGCTTGGAATTTTAGTATCAAAGGTAGAATTCAGGGCAGTAAAATGTTTCTCTTTCAAGGCCTCAGAAGCACCTCCCAGCTGCTACGATACAGAACCAGATTTTTTTTTTTTTTCTGAAAAAGGCAGATGGGTGTGGGCAAACTGACAAAATTGAAAAGGCTTAAATTTGCTTTGCACCTCAAAAAAAAAGGAAATGGGGACCAAGATCTTAGGCTTTGATTTTGATGTTAACTCTAAAATGTTTGTGATTAAGCTGCTATTGAGGACCTAGGAAATGAGGAGACCAGATGTTAGGGATGGTCTTGGGGGGAAATGTCATTCTGTCTCAGACATGGACATGGAGATGGAGATAAGGGTTACTTTGAGAGTTCTAAAGCCCCAAACTCTCACCTCTCCTGCTGCTTTCCTAAGACTGTCCAGGGCTGGTCTAGCCCTCTAGGCTCTTTAGAGGACATCCAGGGCATGCTTGGTTGGGAGACTGTCAGTGGCCTGGGAACTACTGTTCTTGTCAGGGGTGGAGTGGGAGTTTGTGAGGGAACCCCAGTAGGAATGATGTCGGTCTCATCCTAGAAAAAATGGTAAGGTTAGGGAGGGTATGCTTGTTCAGTTCCTTACCCTTACCAACCCTCACTGCCTCAAGGCTACAAATCTTTGCGAAGCTTTGATTCCCCCAGATCCAACCTTATTACCTCCATTTATTAAGGAAAATATTAAAATATTAAAACTCGGCACAGCAGGAGGAGGCAGCAGACCCCCAGCTTCGAACCCTTCCTTTTTCCTCCCTGCATCCCCTCCCCGCTCTTTCTGTACTCGCCTGGAGCAGCGGGCCCTTGGGGAGTGGGCGGTGAGTGGGGGTGGGATGGGGGTCGGGGGGGATGCTCCCTTTCCGAGAGAATTGGGTAAACATGGCGACCGCGGCGCCCATTTGCACACGCTACACAAATGCATCGCATTCCCGGTTGTTTGCAGAAAATTTACAGCTGAGTAATAAAAGTTTACGATCGACTCACAAGTTGGATTGGCCACAAGAAGTCATGTGGATTCCATCCATGAACGTGAACTTTTTATTGTGGTTTGTCCGTTCCGAGCGCTCCGCAGAACAGTCCTCCCTGTAAGAGCCTAACCATTGCCAGGGAAACCTGCGCTGGGCGCTGCCTTCATTATCAGTATTTTTTTTATTAATCTGATTAATAATTATTTTCGCCCCATTTAATTTTTATCCTCCCAGGTGGAGTTGCCGGAAGGTGGGGGCACCTAGGGAGGTCGGTAATGAGAGGGGAGAGGCAGGAGTTGAGGGTATCTCCCTCTCCCTACCCAGACCCTCTGGCCCCCAAGGGGCAGGAGGAATGCAGGAGCAGGAGTTGCGATAGGGAGCTGCAGATGCCTCTCCCCCTCCCCTCTCCTAGGCTTTCTCTCCTGACCCCTTCCTGCAACTCTCCTTAATTTTATTTGGCTTTTTGATAATCAGGACTATTCTTTTTTATTTTAATTTATATAAAGTATATGTGTGTGTGGAGCTGAAACAGGCTCGGCAGCGGCACAGAATGAGGGAAGAAGAGAAAGACAGAGAGTGGGAGAGAGAGAGAGAGAGAGAGGCAGAGAGAGAGGGAAAGAGGGAGAGTGACAGCAGCGCCCGGTAAGTGTTTTCTTATTGGTTCAAATATGTAACTAATGGTCCGTAGCTGGGTGGCGGTTTTAAGATAAGGGCAGCAGCGGCTTGTCTTGGTTGGAGAGGCTAGGGGGCTGGCGGAAGGGTGGGCGCGTGGGTAATTATGGGGAGAAAAAGTGGGGAGTAGATGGGGTTAAATTGGAATACTGGTAACCGGTAGAGGGGCAAATGTGCTGTCCTGATGTCACTGTGCGCCGGAATTGAGGGTCGGGGGCTCGAGAATTTCTCCTGTGGGGCGCAAGCTGGGGTCTAGGGCGCCGGCCGCCTGATGCCCACTGTGTCTATACCTGTTTATTATAGATCTGCCTACTTTGGCTAATGGGACTGAAACGGAGGGGTCTAGAAGCTCAAACTCCAGGGCAGGAGCGAGAACCTGTAGGCTGCGCCCATTGCCCCCAGAGCAAAATATCCCCCCCAACCTCCAAACAAACTTTCCAGAGCCCCCTCCCTGTCCAGCAGCCCCCTCCCTCCCGCCGAGAGCGACCGAAAGAGCTCACACATGCGCAGTGTGGGCCCAGGGCTGGGCCGCAGAGCAGGAAGCGAGCGCTGCTAGGCGGGCGGCAGCGCCTGTTAATTGGCAATTAAGGGGGAGGCTAGTGGCTGGTGCGCGTCAGCCGAAGGGAGAACGTCTGCCCACCCCCTGCTCCCGCCCCTACCCTGGCGGATGGAAGGATGGGAGGTGCCCTGCACTGCGGGTGGAGGGTGGAGGGTGGAGGGTAGAGGGTGGAGGGTGGAGGGTGGGGGTTGGGGATGCAGTACTCAAAAGCCATCTTGTGCTCGGAGGAAAGAGGCCTATCCGAGTTCCAATCTGGGAGCCAGCGCCCTCCATCCCCAACCGCGGCCATTCCACCGGGGTACCCATTGAATAGCCTCACGCACCCCACATGGCTGCTCTAGGCTAGGATCTGCCCTTTCCCGGGAGGAGGTCGGAATTCAGGAGGCCTTAGGCTGAGGGGGGACTGGACAGGCCTCGATGGCAGGGCCTCCTGGGTGCTGTGGAGGCAGTGAGGATGGTTGGATCTTGCGGTAGCGGCGTCAGAATAGGGTGGTCAGGAGAGTCCTGGGCGCTCAGGATCTTCCTAATAATTGGTGCTAATGGCATGTTGTGTAGACTTAACCTGACACATATGGTTTCATAACACAGTGGCTTAATTTCTTCCAAATGTACGTGGCCCTGAATGTGTTGCACTGTGATATATGACCCCGCCCCGCTCCCCAGCCTGGGTCCAAGGCAGCCCTATATGTTGACTTTCTGTTTATAAAGCCCGACGCATATGCAAATGCTTACACAACCAAGCAGACACACCCCAGAGTTGGGGAGGGGACGTATTCCTGGGCGAAGTTCGAGAGTCTGGGGGCCAGACTCACCTTCAATGTAGGCCAACATGCTCCCCCCCATTCTCTCCCAGGGTCGCGACTGGGATTTTGCGCCAAGCCCGCGTGGGGGGAGGGGAGCGCTCCTGGATTTCCTGTTAAACCCTGACCGGTGGCCTGAGGTGGGGGGGTTAGGAAGGGGGAGGGAACCCGTTTTTATCAAAATGTTAAAAAATAAGGTTCGACTACAATCAAATCAGACCCCTTGGGCCCTAGCTGACGGTGAATCTTCTCTCCCCTCCCCCCACAATCCCTTTCCCTTCCTCTCCTGCCCCCCCAAAATTCCCCTTTCGCAGTCGACATAAAGGCCTCGGAGGTATTCTCCCGGGGGAAGAAATGGCATTTTCTCTCCCCCTTCCCACTCCCCACCCCCTATAGGACTGGTGTGTCGGCAGAGGCGTCTGCCGAGGGGCTAATTTCGCGTTCCTTGTTTACGATCGAGAAAAGCGCTTGGCTCTTCCCAAATGGGCCCAGCCCGCCGCCTGCTCCGGCTGCCGCGCGCTCTCCCGCGGCGCAGGCACGGCCCAGGGGCTGGCGCCCGGGGAACCAGGCAGCGGCCGGCTGGGACTCGAGTCTGTGGGACCTGAAAAGGGCAAGGGGAGTACAGTGGGACTGTGGAGGGGCCCGGGAGGCCCGAAAACGGGAGCCTTTCTCTTGGCGTATTGTGGGAACCGCAGACCGGTGAGGCCTCTATTTCTCTTTCGCCTGTATTTTGTCCGCCCCTGGCCTCTGTGGATGGCCGCACTGACGTTGGGGGGTGGGGGGCACAAATCTCCTTTGTTATCACAGAAAGAAAAGCGTTTCGGGAGAAGGCTATTCAGGCCAGTGGTTATTCACCTGGGATATTAGCGGGACCCCCCTCCCATCAGAGGGGCGGTCCTGAGCAAAGCAGGGGTATTTCATTAGGCCTACAGGGATCTAGTTGAATGTGCTAACAGCGAGATTTCGGGGTGCTAGGATGCAAGGTTGACAGGTTAACAGCACTATCCTGAGGTATCCTTATATGTGTTTATCAATTTACTGTCTCTTCCTTGCTAGGGTTCTGCAGGCCCCCACTTTACCTATGCCCTTCACCCCTAGAAATAGAGGGATGCAGAGATAGCAGGGCAGCAGGCACTGGCCCTGGTTTTTCAATTTTCCGGTCTGGCTAGGGGAGAAACCAGAAGCTAGTCCTCTGCTTCCCAGTTACTTTCGTTTTTTCTTCCCCTTCTTTCTTTTCCTCTCTGGTGCTCAAATGGAAAGCACCAGGGGATCCCCCAGTGGCAGCCCTCAGCTCTTGGCAGGCCAAATTCTCTGTGGATGTGGTCCTCACTGCAGGAGATCTCTTCTGTGATTATCTAATAATAGCCATAGTGGCTGATAATAGAATCTGGCAAAAGAACTCTGCAAACCTAGTGCTGAGGCTGGGCAGAAACAGGATCAGGGCCTGGCAACTTTTCCCAGAGCCCAGGGCCCCAGCATCCCATTCTCCTCTGAACCCACCCTTTGGGCACCCTCAGGCCTGCCCCTTCTGGGGCTTTGTTAGTTCAGCAATCACACCCTCTGTGTTACATTCAGGGTTCCTAGCTAAGGAGAAATGGGCAGAGCAAACACTTTCTCTCCTTGGTCTGTCAGTTGTGATCCCCACGGAGAATGCGACCTTGTTTGGAGAAGGCAACCTTGTTTGGTTGAATGTTGTGTTCTGAAACCAGCCGTGGTGACTTTATGCATTTAGTATATACAGGCTCAAATGTACAGACTCAGACTTATGCATGAATATATGCAGTCTCATATTTCCTTGGTGGTTAATTGTATATTACCATGCCTATATTCGCTCAAACTCCGTTTTATGTGCGTGCAAAATTTTGTTAGCCCCCACTAGATGAGAGTGGGCTCATGGAAGCATCTGGTGTACCAAAGAGGCCCTCTCTGCTGTTTTGCTGGAAATATGTGTGCTCTGGAATCGGAGTATGCGGGTCCAGTAACCAACGGATGCTACAGGAGCTTTCTCAGACTTTACTGCTTTTGCTGTCTGTGCAGCTGGACTGGGGAAATACTAAATCCCTTCTGTTTTCCTTCCTCACCTTCCCGCATACTCCTCCAATTGACAGACTTTGTTACAAGGGAACCCAGTCATCTTGAAAGTGAGGTCTCTGGGGCGTTTTGTGGGGGTATTGTGGGCCTCTGAGCAGTTCCCAGCAGTCAGAACTGGAGTCTGGCTGCCAGAAGCCTCATTGGGGCGGTGAAGGGATTGGAGTAGTTAATGAGGTGACTCGGGGCAGTGGTCTGGGGTGACTGCCAACCAGACCAGGGTGCTTGGAGAGGCTGGTGTAGAAGGCTAACCAGAAGGGTTAGGGGTTCTGTGACCATCTCTCCCTCCCTCTGCTTATTCTGTCCACTCACCCCACCACCCTACCCCAGATTTGACTGTGTAAGGGGCCCAATTAAGAGTTAAGGTCCCCTGTCTGTGCAGATCTGGTTACTGGTGGGATTGCATTTCAATCCTGACTGCAGCCTGGACCAAAGCAAAGCCAGGCTAAGAAAGAAGGCCGATGGAGACTTTCAGGAGTGGAAACTGGGCCCTGCCGCCTTCGGGCCTGGAGCACTCAGCATGGGCCGCTACTGGGAATTAATCTGCCTCCTTTCCAGCCTTTCCAGCTTCTGGGGCCACGAAAAGACAAGGGCAGAGGGAAATAAAAATGTCAGTAGAAAGCCCTATAAAAGAAAGTAAGAACAGGAGCAGGGCTGGAGGGGTTTTCTGCTACTCCCAAGGCACTCAGGTTCCTCCCAAGAATCTCCTGTCTAGACTTGCTGTGCCGGAGGCCCACAGCAGCTATTTTTCCACCTTCCTTCCACACTTACTGCAGGCGGACTCAGGCTTTTGAGCCTTGGCCACCTGGGGCGCTGGGGTGACATTACCCCAGGACCGTGCCCCTCACCCAGCCCATGTCCTCTGCCACGGCGCTGCAGCCGCCCCTGTTTATTGTGTCTGTGAGTTGTTTACTTGTTTTGTCTGCTGCCACCCTGCGTCAGAAACCCGCCAAACCAGCAGATTCGCCTAGAAGAACAAAGTGCAGCACTAACCCAAACTCCCTCCCCTTTCCAACACCCTTCTCCCACCCTAACACTCTCCCTCATCCTGCCTTTCGGAGGGGAGGAAGCAGAAATTGTTCTAAAATAGGGCAGCTGTTTAAAGGGTCAGGGAATTATGGGGACACCATAAACCTCCGGGTGTCCTGGTGGCAGAGACTCACAAGCAGCCCTTCTTTTGCCTCCAGCTAGCATTTCTTCCTTCCCCCTGGTAACCTCTTGGCTAGGGGGGGCACAGTCATTAAGAAAGTTGGGCTCCCCTCGCTGCACTCCTCCATTCTTTTCTGCAGGAGTTTCCCTGAGACACAGGTTGTTGGGTTTTTAAATCAGGGTAATGTTGGTAGATTTGTAAAGCTAGACAAAGCATATCATTTTTCCCACTTCGTTCTCCTCAGCCCCCCAAAATAGCAGTGAATTTAAGCAAATCCTACAAAATTAAATTGCCCCTTTGCTAAAGATCCTATAAATCTCCAATCCCGCCAGGTGTAGAGTAGGAGAGGCTGCTGTTCGCCTTTAATTTTGCT